TAAGTTTAATAATAAAATAATTTATTTTTGGTTTAATATTATAAATTTTATAAAGATAATAATTAAGTATTTTGTTAGAATTTAATGATTATACTGATTATATTTTAGATTTTTTATATTTAAAATGAGATGTTTATCCTGTATTTGATTGTGTTTATCTGCAATTAGTTACACGAATTCAGATATGAGATGAAATCGTTTAGGGATGAACGGGTTTAAGAGTTTTAAGAGTTTTTAAGAGTTTTAGCCAAATGTTTTATAAGATAGTATAGATATATTCTAAAAAATTATGAAATAATTAGAATATGTGAGGTTAACACTCTTATGTTTATTCAAAATATATCTACTGGTTTTTTAAAATCATAAATTAATAATTTTTTTCTAAAATTCGTTAACAAATCCAAATTTATAATAATTAATTTGAAATTCTTTTAGTGTGGATGTTTGGGATTGCTTATAAAAATAACTTATTTACTTATTTCGTCGTGACACTGGTAATAAACATTTTTTAGTGTTTGGATATACAACTTATACCGGTGTCACGTCGGTAATAAGAAGTTTTTGAAGAAGTTAAACCATTCTGATTTATAATAAGTTGATAAGTAATTTTGTAGAACAACATAAGTTGTTTCAGATAAGCAATCCCAAAATATATTACATTTAACCTATCAGCTACCAACTAGCTTATTAATAGTTAGCTAGCTTATCAGCTAATTTGCCAAACATAGTCTACATGCAGGGAGTAAGATTGGAATAACATCTCCAACAAGTTTTTTATAATTTATCTAGAATGGAGAATAAAAAGTCGGTTTTTACAGAATTTACATTAAACTCCAACAAATTCTCTATTTTAAAGAATTTCAACATCTACTCTATTATTAAAATATTTATTATTTTATATCACAATATATCTAAAAAACAAATCTCATTTAAAACAACATTTCGCTTTACTCACTATAGAATTTTAGAGAATACATGAGTTTTCTCTATTTAACAGCATCTTCAACATATTTTTTTTTAAATAAAGAAATTAAAATCAAAATATATAAAAAGTTTTACATTTAACTCCAACTGCTTCTCTATAATTTTATTTAAAAAAAAATAAAAAGTCAAAATCTATAAAAAGATTTACATTTAACTTCAGTGGATTGTCTATATTTTTTTAAAATATAGAACTAAAAGTTAATATCTCTAAAAAAGATTTTGTAACATACACACCTTTATATCTCAATTTAAATAACCTACAAATAGTGTTACATGTTTAGTACTGTTTAAATAGTTGGAATAGTGAAGTAATGTAAGGTGTTAGCATTGGTAGATGTCAAAAAAAACAAAGTGTAGTTCTCTATGTGCATAGATGTGCAAAGTATAATGGCTATATAAGAAAGAATTTGCACAAATGTTTTTCTGAGATGAATTTTGGAAATTTTGAGAGTTTGAGGTGAAACTAGACTTGATAAAGAATGCGTAGGCGAAAATCTCATCGAAAACGGAGGGCGAAAAGTTTTAACATAAATAATTAAAAGTCAAGATATCTAAATAAAACTACATTTAACTCCAACAGATTCTTTATTTTAGAGATTTCAACATCTACTATATAATTAAAATATTATATAATTAAATTTATCATCTCAATACATTTTTTTAAAATAAAGTTAACGGTTATATAAACTCTTCAATTCCCTCTAACATAACTTAGGGGGTCGTTTACTAAAAGCTTATTTGGTAATTATCGGGTAATTTTTCTCATCGGATGAATATGACAAAGGCCAAAAATCTTACCCGGCAAGAGTAATGATAAAGATAGAGAGTCTTATCCGGTAAGTGAGGGTGATTACTCTTACCCGGATAAGCTCTTACCAGGTAAATTGTTGCATAGGATACGTTTTGATGTACTACAATCTTACCCAATAAAATAAAATTATAGTATTGACTCATAATGTTAAGCACTTATCGGATAAACATTTAGGTAAACGGTCCCTTAATAGCATCTCCACTAAATTCTCTAAAATAAATAAAATAAGATTTTTATTTTTTATTTTTCTTCAACATGTTTTTTATATTGTTTTCTAAAATAAATAAATTAAATAAAGCTCCAACTAGAAAGTTCTCTAAAACTCAATATGTAAAAAGAAAATTTAATTTTTTTTATTTATTTCCATCAATGAAATTGAGTCATTATTATTTTATATAAATTATTTATAAAAAAATATATTTAAATGATAAATTAATAAAATATTTTAATACTATAATAAATATTGAAATATATAAAGTAGAGAATCTTTTTGGTATTAAATATAATTGTTTTTATAAAAACTAACTTTTGATTTTTTATTTAAATAAGGAATAACAGCATTAATAATATTTATGTGAACTCAACACCAACAATCCGTTGTAGTCTAGTTGGTTAGGATACTCGGCTCTCACCCGAGAGACCCGGGTTCAAGTCCCGGCAACGGAAGCCTTTTTTATTTTTGACCCTTGTGGTTGCTACCAATTTTAAAGTATAGTCCTTAAGCATGATTAAATGTAATTCTGTATCCATGGTTGTCATTTGTTTACGCTTTTGGTCCTTAAGTCTAACGATCGTTTAATTCAATCCGTTAACTGAGTAGTATTTTGGTCTTTTTAGTCCCTTCTTTAGTTTTTTAATCAAAAACTTAAACATGTATTGTTTCCTTGCTACAAACATGACAAACATTGACCACCGTTTTCCATAACCTTTCAGACCCTACTATTTTCATTAAAACTTAAACCTGAATGTAAATCCTCTTGTGATCACAACCGACCTGCACATACAACAATCCTTCCACTTCTACCTACGTCCCTACAACTCCCCCTTGCTCTCTGTTTTCTTTATGTTTCTCTCTGTTATGGCCACCCTAATCCTTTGATTGTCTGTGATTTTCTTCACAACACAAAGTTAATCTAAAATGATGATACAAAGAAATAATAATAAAAAAGATGCAATGTATGTGAAGATCAATCAAAGTAGTTTTGATAGATGATGCTCGTGGTGGTTGTAGACGAGGAGGAGATGGTGAGGGGTTCACGATTTCAGGGAGGGTTTACAATGGTGGGCTTTCCTTAGGGGAGTTGGTGTGAGATGGAGATGGGAGGGGGTGTCTATGACAACTCGATGGAGATTGAGGTTAGAGGTATGGATTTTCTTTTGTTGTCGAATAGGGTAAGGTGTAGGTTGTGGTTTTGCTAGGCTGAAAATGCAAGAATAGATAATGCATATGTGAATCATTGGTAATCCTGAAAAAGATCATTTGGAAAGCATACGTGTAGCCACGTATACTTACCTACCTTTATACCAATTATTCACATATGAAGATTTATATGTTAACTCATACTTTTTTAAACCAATGAATTGTTCATTCGTATTTTCTCGATGTTTTTGACTTTTTCAATTGAACCTCCATGTATGTATAACACACACACACATACACACACATATATATATATATATATATATATGTATAATATAATAAGTGAATAAAAGATATGTATTATTTACACATTATTATATTTAAAGAAAAACAAAAAAATTGATATAAGAACCAAAATACAACTAAGTTAACATATAATTTTTAACAGAAATTAGTCAGGGAAATAAAAAACGTAAGAAAGTGTCAACTACAGGGACCAAAACTGTAATTTACTCTTCTATAAGGGTAAATTTTTGCCAGGTGTGGGGGCTAATATGTCATTTCGCATTCCATCATTTTGTGGAGCGAAACCCTAAGAACGCTTTTAAGTTTCCGATAAAACCCTTCGATCCTCCCTTCGCTTACATTTTGCTCCTGCTTTTCATATCCCTCCCGCCGCCGTACTCATCCGTAACTACGATGGTACGCTCTATCGCAAGTGGTTTATTGTTATCGCTTATTGCTAGGGTTTGATCGAACGGTGTTTTATGTTCGTATGATGATATTGTTGAATGATAAATGTGTTGTAGGCTTCAGAGAGGAAGCAAGCGAATCCAATGAGGGAGATTAAGGTTCAGAAACTGGTTCTCAACATCTCCGTTGGTGAAAGTGGTGATCGTCTTACCCGCGCTGCCAAGGTTGAATTCTCTCTGTCGATCTCCGTGTGTGCAATGTGTGTGTATGCATAAACGTTTTATGATATACTTTCCATTTTTTGGTATTAGGTTTTGGAGCAACTGAGTGGCCAGTCCCCTGTGTTTTCCAAGGGTAAAGATATACTTTACCATTCCTCATCTGTTGTGTTTTTTTTGTGTGTATGTGTATTTTTATAGATTTTCTTATATGGATTGATGAATAAGGTTAAGGTGTTGTTTGTTTACCTCTTGTCAATCTTGTTTGGTAAAAAAAGTATGTCTGTTAATGGTTCTAAAATCCTTTGAATGATTTTGCATGCCTTACTTAACCATTCAGCAACCTAATTTTGTTGTAAACGATTACCAAACAATTATATTTCATTTTGCAATGTATCAGGAGAGCCTCCATTTTGACCACTTAATCATTCTACTTCAAACCATTCAGCAACTACCAAACAGCCCCTAATTAAAGTTTATTTTTGCTACTAGATAGATTGCACACTCATCAATCTGATTAGGGTTTTTTTTTTCTAGACACAATCAGTGTATAGCATATTGTAAGATAATAGAATTTCAGTGATTATTCGATCGCAGTTCCATGTCTAAATTAACGAAAAGGAAAATAGATGCAGTCCCTAACACGGTTTTAGTTAAATATATCATACCATCTATGTAGTTTGACCTTTGTTTTTTATTATTGAATTGTGATTTGGTAATTGCTTTAATATTGTATCAGTGTTGTGGTTTAATGTGTTACTCATCTTTTCTACTAAAATGATTTTATGAACTCTTTCTGAAATTATAGTTGCAACTCTTTTGACATCCATACTTAAATCTGTATACATTCTGTAAGAGTGATTTGCCAACTTAAACGTAGCTTAGTTCTGAGAGTGTTTCAGCTAGTTTTATATCATGATTTTGTCGCTTGTTGAAAAAATTTCTTTGGGTATACAGCTGATGTGATTGATTTGGATTTTTGTTTGTGGTCATAATTCATAAACCGACAAAGGGGATTGAGTGATGTTTATGATTTTGGTGTTGATTGGTACAGCAAGGTACACTGTGAGGTCGTTTGGGATTAGGCGTAATGAAAAGATTGCATGCTATGTCACTGTTAGAGGGGATAAGGCAATGCAGCTCTTGGAGAGTGGTTTGAAGGTCAAGGAATACGAGCTTTTGAGGCGCAACTTTAGTGATACCGGCTGCTTTGGTTTTGGGATTCAGGAGCACATCGATCTTGGTATCAAGTAAGCCAGTGTTATTAAGCAACTGTCTTCAAGTTAATGATGCTTCTCATTCTTTTCACACTTTTCACAAGCCGGTGGTCTTCATAGAAACAATTGTTCTACCGTTGAGGACTTGAGGTAGTGGTAAAGTCCGCATACATACCATATTAAGAGAAAGTTCAAAAGTGAACCATAAATATTCTGAGAAATGTGAGATCTAGTATATGCGTTGATGCATACAGACCATTAAAATATGTATGTATGAATTAGTATATTCATCGATAGAATATATGTATATATCATACATGCGCTATATGTGCAACGTGTATATGCATTGGTATACTCACTGATAAATGAACAAAACAATGCATGTTTTTGAAACAATACAATTTTGACTGATAAATGCATCCTTCAACCTATTCGTCATTTTATTGATTCAAGCCTCTTACCCCAAAATGGGCTGATTTAGTCAGGCTTGATAATCATATTATTTCCAAGAAAACTGTATATTGTTTATTAAAAACCTTCTCTGATGCCTTTAGGTATGATCCATCGACCGGTATCTATGGTATGGACTTCTTTGTCGTTCTAGAACGCCCAGGATACCGTGTTGGCCGCCGCCGTAGGTGCAAGGCCCGTGTTGGTATCCAACATAGAGTTACAAAGGATGACGCAATGAAATGGTTCCAGGTGAAGTATGAAGGAGTTATCCTCAACAAATCCCAACAAATTGGAGCATAGACTTCTTTACGGTAAGCGTTTTCTAGCGGTCTTAACTTTGAATCCGTATCTTGATTAGGCTCACCGGAGATTTTTACATTCATTTTGTTTTCGCTGGTGATCTTCTCTTGTTATAGTAGTTTTTTTAGGCAAGATATCATGGAACCTTCTCTGTTTTTGGTCAGATGTTTTTTGTTAGTATCTTTTGACATGCAGATTTGATTTTGTTGGTGTTATATTTTGCATCATGATATGAGAGATACGATTTTACCCTACCTGCTGGTGTGATATACACCGGTTTGGGTCCGTTTATCTTAGAGATACATTTTTGCTTGGTTTTGTTATGGTGTGATTTTTGTGGATTTTTTCTTTCCTGATCTGAGTGAATAAAGTGATTAAGGAAGGGGGTGTTTGTTTCATTTTGGGGAATGAGAATGAGAATGACTATTCATTTGGCCCAATTTGATCCGTGCTTGCTAATGGTGAAATTGTACTTTTACCTCTTGTATCCGAAATGTCTAATGCTGTCATATGCCATACTTTCTACCGCATTGTTGCCGTAATCTATATAATGGTTCGGACCATTGTAATCTTCTCTCTCGATTTTTCTATGACGAACACAACTTCTTGCTATCTCTTGATTTATCTATGACGAATACAACTTCTTGCTATGCTTGAAAGGTAAGGTGTAAAGATTTTCATTTCCAATACGGTGTACTAACCAATTATAATTAGTATGTAAAATCCAAAATCATGTAAAAGTATAGATGTTATTTAATAATATAAAAATGCAACACAATGAAATTGAATTAATTTTCAAAATCTTTATATTGTAATAAACTATAGAACCTTTTAGGGGTGTTTGGTTTCCAGATTTTGAAGAAAATTTGATGGTGAATTCTATTTTCTTGTTTGATTTTTTTTTTCATGAAAGAAATCTTTAAAATTTTTCAAATTTTGTAAATAAAGTTATTTAATATTTCTTAGCAATTATATGGTATTTTGATGGAATGAATTATCTATTATTATAATACTAAATATGCCTTCAATCCTATGTCCTAATCTCATAAAACCTAGTATGAACTCGTTGACCACTTTCGACCACTGTCATTTGAACCACTGTTGATCACCGCTATCTGAACCACCTTTAATTTGAACCACCATCGATCTAAACCATTGTGGATCATTGCCATATGAACCACCATGGACCACCACTGGTCTGAACCACTGTCGACTATCTTCATCTGAACCACCACGGACCACCATCGATCTGAACCACCGCCAACTACTACCGATTTGAATCACCATCGATCATCATCGATCGGAACAACCACCGATCTGATCCATTGCCAATCTGAATCACCGTCGATCGAAACCACATCTGACCAACACCACTTAAAGCACCACATACCACCACCTATTTGAGTCATTGCCTACCACCGACGACTACCATCGATCTGAATCACCGTCGGACACCGCCGACCACCATCGATTTGAACAACCACTGATCTGAACTACCGCCGTCACCTTCATCTGAACCACCGTGGACCACCGTTGATTTAGTAGTGTCGTTTGGCTTATGGTTATATTTTGGTTGTGTATTTTATATTGTTTAACATATTAAATAATTATTTTGCTCATTTATCAATATTTCATTCAAATTCCAAAGGTACATTCTTTGAACCAAACAAACTGATTTCAATTCCTTAACATATTTCATTCCAATGTCTGCCAACCAAACAAGTAGACAAACCAGACAAAATTCCATTTCTATTCCTTCAAAGTCGAATTCTTTTAACATATTACATTCCATCAAAAAACATTCTGCAAATCAAACGTCATCTTATTTTAAGAAACTAACTGTAGTCAAATTTGTTTTTATTTGGCTTTATTGTTACGAAAAGAAATGTTTAAGAAGTTGACTTTTTATACTCAAAATAAAATCAATTTAATGGAATTTGTCAATTATGTTGCGTTCTCGAGTCTTATTTTATAAAGAAAATGAAGGAAAAAGGAAGAAAAGTAAGAGTGAATGAAATAATCTCATGTTATTGAGCTTTCTTTAGGAGGGAAAATGAAAGAAAACAAATAAAAAATACCATATAATCGTAGTGTTATTATTAAAATTAGTTTTGAGACAAAAGGAGTAGTTAAAATTTAGAATGCCAACATTCAATAATCCGTTGTAGTCTAGTTGGTTAGGATACCTCCACAGCTGGTTCTTGTCTCGACAACGAAAGTGGTCAATCCCCGACCATTTTACCTTCCACAACCCCTTGGACCCTCCCATTTCACTTACAACTTAAACCCTATGTGTGTGAAGATCAGTCAAAGTAGTTTTGAAGGTTGACGGTGCTCACAACGGTTGTAAAATAGAGGGTTGGAGGTGTCCATTTTTTGTCGTTGGATAGGGGCCGAGGTTCAATGGGAAATGAGAAAGAGGGGTAGGGAGTAGGTTTGTTGTCGTTATGAACGAAGGTAGATAAGGGTAGAAGGTCTGGGATCTTGTGTGTATTTATATTAGGGGTGAGCAGCGGAACCGGGTACCCACTTGCGGAACCGATTGAGAATGGTTCCGGTTACGGTTCTCAAGTTTTCGGAACCGTTACCGCCGGAACCGGTTCCGGGACCGGGTACCCGGAACCGGCGGGTACCCTGTATTTTTCACTTAAAAAATATAATTAATTGTCTTTTAATACTAAATTTAAATTAAGTAAAAAACTTAGAACTCTATATTAGATTTTTGGTCCCGCCTCTACGCCTCATACTCTTGGGCCTGAGGCCTCTAACCGTGAGAATTTGAAACGAGATTCAGGATCATCGCAGTCACGAGATAAAATGATTCGTATTTTTTTCAAATTGTGTGTTTAGTTGGATACGTAGTATATAATCGTTAAACTTTGAACATTTACAATTATAGTATGTAATCGTTAAACTTTCAACATTTCCTATTAGTCTATTATGATTTGTAACCGTTAAACAATATTTGTAACCATTATTCCGTATAATTTGTATTTTTGTTTATTTATTTAGTGTTTTGGCAATGTTTTATTTTTTATTTCTAAATAACAAAATTTTAATATTTTAGGAAGCGGATACCCGGAACCGGTTCCCGGCGGTTCCGGTTCCAAAAATTCAAGAACCGCTCTAACCAGTTCCGGTTCCAATATCTCAAGAACCGCCGGTTCCGGTTCCGGTTCCTGTCAAATAGGGCGGGTACCCGTCTATGTTCACCCCTAATTTATTTATATATGTAGTGGACTATTTGAATAATAAAGATAAAAATAAATAAATAATTCATATTTGAATCATCGCAAATCTAAAAAAATCCATTTGAAAATGCATGTGTATCTACGTTCACCTATCTACCTTTGTATCAATTATTCACATTTGAAAATGTACATGTGAACCATATTTTTAAACCAATAATTCACATATGAATCATCGATTTCGTTGTTCTTAATGTTATTGCCTTTTTATTTAAACCACCATGCATATATAACTATATATTTAACATAATAAATAATAAATAAATAAAATATACATTTTATAATATATTATTTATATTAAAAAAAAATAAAAAAAAAATGAGAAAAGGAACAAAACACAATTAAGCTAACAGATTTTTTAATGGAAGTTAGTCAGAGGGACTAAAAATGTAAGAAAGTGGAAACCACCGGTACCGGAAGTCTATTTGATCGAGTTTGACCAACCGTTCCTTTCCAAGTGTCTCCACCGTTTCCAACCGTTCCTTTCCAACTGTCTCCAACCGTTTAACAAACCGTTTGACCGATAATCTCCAACCATTTTCAAGCGTTGGCAACCGTCTCCAACTGTTTGCAACCGTTTGCCCCAACACTTCGGTAAACTCTTGCTGGTAAGAGTCTCCATCAAAACAATATCGTGCTTATCAAGTAAGAGTTGTCATGAATTCTTTTTGAAATTACACTTGCAACCCTTTTAGGAAGACAAGGCAATGTAGCTCTTGGAGAGTGGTTTGAAGGTCAAGGAATAAGAGCTTTTGAGGCACAAATTTAGTGATACTGGCTGCTTTGGTTTCGGTATTCAGGAGCACATTGATCTTGGTATCAAGCAAGTCGGTGTTATGAAGCAACTGTGTCGAAGTTAATGGTGCTTCTCTTTCTTTTCACACACTTTCCACAAGCTGGGGTCTTCACAAAAACAAATGCTCTACCCTTTAGGTAGAGGTCAAGTCCACTTACATCCCACTGCCTAGACCTTCCTATATATATACACCATATTAGGAGAAAGTTGAAATGAGAACCATAAATATTTTGAGAACTCCGAAAACTAGTATAGACATTGATGCATATACACTACCAAACAGATGCGGGTGAATTAGCTGCCTTTATCAATGGCATGGGCACTCGAAGGAAAGGTATAAAGATTTCCATTGTCCCTATGGTATGGACTTCTTTGTCGTTCTAGAGCGCCCAAGATACTGTGTCGGACGTTGCCGTAGGTTGGTAGGTGCAAGGCCTGTGTTGGTATCCAACATAGAGTTACAAAGGATGACAAAGTGAAAAGGTTCCATGTGAAGTACAAATGTTTTCTACTAGTATCTTCGGACAGAGGTTTGATGCTTCTGAATCCATTGTATTAGTTCCGAGAATCTTTCCTCAGAGGCACGGAAAGGGTCCAAGCCATAGGAAAGACGGCAACTTGAGAGTGTGGAGGAGGGGAAAGGGCGCTCGAAGCAAAAGGAACGTTACAGCCATTGTGGTAAAAACATGAGCAAAACAAGGACCAAGAGTCTTACCCGAAAGCGTGTATGATGCCTAATTATCTTCCCCAATGATTTTAACGAGGACACCTGCATCTACTAGCCTCACTCTAACGACGTTAGGTTTATAGGACGTCTAAACTATTTAAACGTACTGATAAAATATTTTATAGGACTTCATTTTATGAAACCAAACAAAAAGCATCATATCTAAGAATGTTACAATAGGTTTATAGGATGGTTTTGAACGTTTTAACAAGTTTTTTAGCATGTTTTTGAAATAAAGTATTTTATTAATATATCACAAAAAGTAGTGTATGGTATAAGAAAAAGAATGATTAAAAAGCAGTAAAAGTAATGATGTTACACATAATTCCATCAACAACATCTCATCACTATGTTTCCCACTCACCATCTTAGAAACATTATTTATACTTTAAGTAACCCTCTATCCAAACGATGGATTATCTGGTAAGTGTTTATCGGTAATAATCAGCATTTTAATTTTTTTAATGGGTCAGGGTTGTAGGTCATCAAAATAGTATCGTATATAACAACTTATTGGTAAGAGTCGTCATCTTCACTTACCGGGTAAGATTCTCCTTGCCATGCTTATCTGGTAAGATAAATAAATAACTTAGTAAGCACTTACCAGTTAAGCGTTTAGGGAACGATCCTTGAATATCATGGTTCTAAATAATTCTTTATGGGCTCGTTAACGTAGTATGGCATCAAGGCTTGACTTCAGCGCTACGTTAACCCCTGTGGCTCCACTCTAAGGCTTGACTTCGCTGTAACGAGTTATGGCATGTCATGACGTGTCATTTTGTAAGATATGAGTTTTTTTTTAATTTCTAAATAAACATTAAAAGGAAATATAAAAACTTTAAACCCTAAATAGATAAATCATTACTCTCATTCCCGTGCATGATGAGCGGAACACGAATTTGAAGATTGAAAAAGTAGTGAGTAGACACTCAAGAGATCTAATCCAGATTTTACACTCTTGATCATTTTCTTATAAGCTCGATATATTTGATATAAATGGTTCTTCTTTCCCATTTAGTTTTATAACTTTATATTAATTTTGCATTAATCTATGGTATTATTCAAACACTAACACACAAGTGTTTATATATATAGGAGGTTTACTTTGCAAACCATGTTATTTGTACCTATGCCACTATAGAGCACACATTAAAAAATGTCGTGACCTCGTCATAACTCGTACGACTTCAGGTTTGAAGTCGTTGGCACGTCATACTGTCATCTAGAAACTTCCCAAATATTTATCATAGTATATCAATTGTGATATTTTTTTAAATAAAGAAGGTAGTAGAGAAGATAAAATTCAATAAATCTTAGAATTTTCTAAAAATAATTTGCTTAAGAGTGATAAATGAAATTTTATTTTTTTCATCGGTAAAAGTCTTTGAAATTAAATGTTTTATTAGAGAAAAATAATATTTAATGTTGTAATTTCTAAAATTAAAAACCTATTGAATCGAATGAATTTTTGTTTGAATATTTTGGTTTTTCACTCTCAATTTTAAAGAAAATTTATGTTAGAGAATGTTTAAATAAAGGTTGATCGGACAAAATAGTCATTTTTCTCATATAAATTGGTTTTCCAACCATTAATCTCCATAATTCACCTAAATATCACTACGTCCGTATGTTCTACGTTCGCCATTTGTGGACCCAGCTAAAAGACAATTTTTTTTGTCAGATTTGACCCATGAAGTCCACAATTATAACGTCTGAGTCTACAATTGCGACGACCAGAACCACAACTGCAACAGCTAGGTCCACATTTGAATTTTTTTTGGTCTTGTAACTAGGTCCGCAAGTGGCGAACGTAAGACTTGTGGAGGTAGTGATATTTATTGTAAATTATGGAGAGGAATGACTAGACCAATTTATTTAAGATGAACGGCTATTTTGATCAATTTTACTTAAATAAATCGAACTTATAATCATTAAGCATGAAGAAACCTTAATACAACAAATGTATATATATAATAATTCGAAAATTGGATCATAAAATGTGATCCCAAAATCTAAAAGTGAATCTAACACTTGAATAACAAAACCAAAAAAATTATGAGGAAAACAGCTGCAGAAAGTCCAATTGCCACACCAAGAACCACCTTACTCGGCCCCCTATCAACATGCACTTGATTCTTCTTTTCTACGTTATCATCACCACCACCGCCTTCACCATCATCATCACCACCGCCACTGCCTGCATCATCCACCGATGACGGCGGTTCATTGGTCGCCGGTGGTGGCAAGACCGGCATTCCGTGTTTATCACAAGCAGCAATCCCAAGCTTTACGTCCTCTGAAATAGTTGAATGATTATAACACAGATCATCGTTTCCATTAATCTTGAACACATCCAATCTCTTGATAAAGGATGCATTAAAAGGCAGGATTCCATGGAAATGGTTGTTTTCGAGGTTCAGATACTTTAATTCCTTCATTTCTGAGATGAACTCCGGGATTGCTCCATTGAATTGATTCGAACCCAGATCCATATAGACTAACCCGGGAATGGCGGATATGGATCCGGGTATTGGACCTGATAACGAGTTCGATGATAAAGATAGATTTTTAAGAGAAACCAAGTTGCCAAATGAATCGGGTAAGATTCCATTGAGATTATTTGATGAAAAGTTCAAGACTTTAAGGTTTTCCAGGCGAGTTAATGATGTGGGTATTGATCCTTTGAGTTTGTTTTGGGAGAAATCGATGTGGGTTAGATTTGGATTCCAATCTTTTGGGAGATATCCGGTGAGATGTGTGTTGGAGAGGGTGATCTTGGTTAAAGATTTCATGTTGGAGGTGATGATGTGGATGCCAGAGGCTTTGATGGGGTCGCCGGAGATGTAGAGTTCGGTGAGGTTATGGAGTCGGCTGAGGAAAACTCCAGTGAGGCGTTGGAGGGAGTTGACGGAGGTGAAATATCGGAGGTTATTGGAGAGGGAGGTGGGGAAGTGGACGACTGGAGTGTGGCAGTTGAGGAAAGTAATGGAGGTGAGAGTGGATAGGGAGGAGAGGGCGGTGGTGGAAAGGTGGAGATCGGAGGAGCAGTTTGTAAGACGGAGTGAGAGGAGGTGGCGGAATGTGGTGGTGGCGGTGTCGCAGGTGGTGGTGGTGCAGGGATCGTGGGTGGTTGGGATGTGGAGAAATTGTAGGGCTCTTAGTTGCTCAGGGTCAAGGGTGGAGGAGGTGGTAGAAGACGACGGAGGTTGAGCCTGAAGAGTTTTTTTGGTGGATATCGCCGGAGCAGGGACGGTGGCGGTGGGGTATAGGAGGAGGAGGTGGAGGAGGAAGAAGGTGGTGGCGATGGTGGAAGCTCTCATCGTTGCGTTTCTTTTTCTCGAGTGTAGTGATTTGATGATAACTGTTTTTAAGGTTTTGAAGGAGTACATACGAAGAAAGGGAGACAGAGTGAAATTACTATTTTACCCCTCCTATCAATGCAGATGATATATAGAGTTGGTCATGTGGTATACCTTCTTTATATGGTTTGGTGGTCGATGATGATTAAGGGTTCGAAATTATTAAATGGTCGAAATGATTAAAAGGTTCTCATGATATAGGGTAACATGAAATATAATTGTTTGATAATTATACACAATGAAATTAGGGCTTTTAATGATTGAGGGAGATCAATGATACAAAATCATTCAAAGGGTTTTAAAACCATTGTGCGTTTGGTATGCAGACTACATAGGACAGGACGGGACAAAAAAAATAGTCCCATGTTTGGCATCCCATGGACAAAAAAAACATGGGACAAGGTGGAACTATTTTTAATTTTAGTGGGACAAATCTTGATATTTCTTGTTCCATAAAAAAAGCTGAAATATGGGACTAAAGTTAAAATGACAATATTTTGATTGATTTGTTGTCATTTTACAATCATTATATGATATAAAATAACATTGAACAATATTTAGGGGTAATATGGTCATTTTAATAGTTTTGTCTTGTCCTGTCCTAGTTGTACCAAACATAGGACAGATAATTAGTCTTGTCCCGTCCTGTCCCATCTAGTCTACGTACCAAACACTACCTTAAAAGACAGATTTTTTTTTTTGCCAAACAAGATTCACTTCTTAACGATTCAGAGGTTGCCTCTTAATTGAACTATTAAGAGGTAAACAAACAATCCCCAATTCAATAAATATAAAACAAAAATTTCAGTTTGTCTTAATTTCCTTTATAAGTCCTATTTTGTAATCTGTTAGTTGATCAAGCAAAACTCTTTTAATAAAATCGAAGACTAGTTGAAGTGAAGCTAAATAGACACCAAAAGGATTAGATTTAATGCATAAAGCAAAAGACCAAATAAAGACCCTTCCACTTCGTCTTTCGACTAGTCTGTTTGTAATATAAATATGTGATCCTTGTATCACCAAGATGTTTCAGGAGCTGCCCTCACTTATCGAGTAAGACTCATGGTCCTTGTCTCGTTTTTACCGGGTAAGATTCTAATCAAAACACCAATTACTCATCTATATAATCATGTGATGAATTCTTCTTTTACATTCAAAGTTTTCCCATCAATACAAATTACAGAATACAAACAAATATATGCCAAAAATTAAACCAGCTGACCAGAGTCATTCAGACCAAAAACATCTACATTTCAAAAATTACTTATTTTGTACTCAACAATCGATGGCGATGCAGCCCTGCGTAGCATTCGTATCGCCCTTGCTAACAAACGGATCGATCTTCACCCACACGAGCGAGAAAACGGATGCCAACAACACCGACCACAGAATAACGATGGTGGGGGTCCGGTTTTGGCGACCCATGAGACCTTTGAGGAATGGGTACAAATGAAGGATCACCCAAAACGCAAAGAACACCTTCCCGAAGAGTGGACCCCACGCTTCGTACCCTTTGTTGAGGGCGTCCGAGAACCCTGCCACGACTCCCACCAAGTTGAGGACGAGAAGGGTGGTGGGCGGGATCAAAACTGTTGTCCATTTGATCATGTAGAGCTCCCCAAACTCGAGATCATCGGCTGCTTTGGTGGTGACGGTGAAGTTTGTATCGACGCCCGCCAGCATTTTGAGGAATCCTTGGAAAACGGCAAAGAGATGGGCGGAGACACCACCAATCACCCAAAACTGCTCGTTACGCCACAGTTCTTCAATGCTGACACCGCTCCATCGGATTTCAAGGACACTGGTAGTAATGATTGACAAGAAGAGGCCAAGAAACCAAACTGCTGCTAGGTTTGAAAGCTGGTTCAAAGAACGAATCAATTAGTCCACAAATTATAAGAATTCAAGGGTTCTTATCTGCTTAAGGCTATGTCCGGCAAACTAGCCGATAAAAATAGCTGTTGGCTTATAAGTTAGCTGATAAACCAGACATGTGAGGTAAAAACTACCCGATAAGCTAAATGACAATGTAAAATGACCTAAAAAGACATGTTGCAAAAATCAATTGGAAAGATGTAAGGGGCATAATTGGGGAGGGAAAAAGAGCCCATGGAGCTTATTGAAATGTTACTACTTCAAGTAGGTTTTCAAAAAGCTAGCTTATAGCTGACAGAACGGGGCTTTTTCAATAAGCTCACCCAAACACGGCCTACGAGGTTGAACGCTAGAAGTCGACTCAACTACCTAGAAGACCTTTATTTGAATTGTATATTTGATTCTTCAATTTGTGTTCGGTTTAGGAAGTTGGAGTTACCGTGGGAATGATGAATTTTCCGGTTAGAAGGCAGATAGCAGGCAGCGTACAGTATGCAACGAGAGGGAGAGATGTGAATGGATAGACAATGGTGTTTATGTATGCAAGTCTTTGGAGCAACTTGAGGCGGCCACCACCCCATCCGTACCACAACGGGCAATGTCTACTCAAAAAGATCTCAACAGATCCAAGAGCCCATCTCAAAACCTGGTGCAACCGATCCGACAAATTGATAGGAGCCGACCCTTTGAATGCAGGCCTCACAGGCATGCAGTATATTGATCTCCATCCTCTACAATGCATCTTGAATCCCGTCAAGATATCCTCAGTAACCGATCCATATATCCACCCAATCTGTCGATATTGCATACAATTTAGATCAAAAACTTATTGCCAAACAGACCATTAAGGTATAATAGATCAAACAGAGAGGCATTGACCAAAAAGGTCAAGGAGTCAAAATTTACTGAATGAAGATCAATTTACCTCTTTACCCCATGCAGTTTTTTCTTCATACCCACAACTAATCACATGAATTGCTTCATTGATCATCGTTGCAGGGTTGGCAGACTCGGCTAGTCCTCCGTGTTCCATCAATGTAGACTCGATAAATACAGATGACATGCCAAAAGTTTTCTCAAAGCTCATTTGAGATATGAGTAATGACCGTTCATATTCATCATAACCTGTATGAATATACATTTAGAATTTCCAAATTGGTTCCCAAATATTAGTTTAAATCGAGCGATCTAACAAAGTAAACTTACTTTCAATCTCCTTAAGGTTAAAAATGGCCGCATTTAGATCATCCCTTCTGGAATCACGTTGAAACTCTTCTAGATCTTTCTTGGGTTTCTTGGGGCCACAACAGCAAGAAGAAGATGAAGAAGAAGGCTTCGGTAATCTTGGTAGAGATTGAGGTCCATAACCATATAGCGCTTGCCTATAGAAAACACAACCTGTTCCTACATAAACCGGTCCTTGAATGCCATCTAATCCTTTCATGTTAACCTGAATTTAACAAACAAGAATTTCATTATGAACCATAAGAACTTTTTTCTGATCTTTGTACTTCCTATGTTTCAAAAAGATTGCTAAATGTCAATTTTAGCCTTGATCACAAAGGGAGTAATGAATTTCTCCATCTTATAACTGAAGGGTAGAATTGAAAAGTAGGCACTTATGAAAGTGGACATTTATTTGGGGACAAACTAAAAGAAAAATATTGGATGCTTTGGGACGGAGGGAAGTACCATTTAACCATCATTATGCTATCTATAATGGAATACAAGGCTTACATCAAAGAAAACTGTGTTCCGGTTGGCGTATCTGTCACTACGGTCAATGCCATCAAACCTCTGAGGGAACTGGATATAACATACATCACGGCCAACTTGTGGGTCCATCAAGAAACACATTGCCTCTCGAACCGCCTTGCTATTGTTTACGTAGTGATCACAATCCAGATTAAGTATGTAGGGTGCATTTGTGAGAATTGCAGACACCCTTACCTGAAAAAACATAGTAATGAAATTTAGTGGAGTCCTTGTGAAGGACCACCGATTTCTTCTAAAAGACAGGGAATGTTAGTAAACCAAAGAAGACCAAATGAGGCCAGTATATTCCACCCTGACGTGTGATCAGAGGGATGTAGGCAGGCCTGACCTCTGCCCCAAAGAGCAGAGCGGCTATTTCCCTGAAAAAGTGGGAATGTATTTTGTAGCTTTGGGATTTACCAGAGCATTTTCAGCACCGGCTTTTTTGTGGTGTTGATATCCTGGTCTTTTCTCTCTAGAGACGTAAACTAGTCGAGGAAGCTCGTTTCCTTCAATGTCATGGGCACCACTATGTCCTAGGAAAACCTGAAATGTGCAAAATGGGGGCTATTTAGCGACATTTGTATTAATATTGGTTGTTATTTTCTGAGAATATTAGCAGGTGTGACTTGCTAAAAATGAAACGAAAAGTGATAACACTGGAAAGGGTAGTCGACCTGAATCATGCCAGGGTGGTCACGGGTGTTATTTCCTGGCCATGGTGTTCCGTCTTGCATAGTCCATCCCTCATCTGGAGTTTTCTGAGCTTTTGCTACTAAAGCATTTACCCGCACTTTGTATTCCTCATAATCTCGCTGCAATCAAGAAGCAGATGAGAAGAATGTTAAACTTGCACATTAATCTTTAGTACAACTTATTGTGAAACAAATTGTTGGTGTTAAATCTGCTAATAATTTGAGGATCAACAGTTTTCAGCAAAAAGATTAACTTCTTTTATTTAAAGACACTTACTTTCATTGCTCTACGTTCCTTAACAAACGATGGCTGCACTTTATCTTTCAAGTAGTCAATCTTCTGGGAGAAGTAAAATTCTGGCGCCCGTGGTTCTATTGAGAACCGTTTGCAGAACGGGACCCACTTCCTTGCAAACTCTGCTGTTTCAACAAGGGATTCAAATGAAAGCATTGCAGCACCATCATCAGAGACATAACACGAGACCTTATCAACTGGGTAGTCCACGGCAAGGATTGAAAGAACGGTATTTGCAGTAATTAGAGGAGGTTCTTTCAAAGGATCGACTGTGCTCACAAAGAAGTCAACAGCAGCAAGTTCTGAAGGTTGGCCCTCTCTTTCATACCTGAGATAACCATTAGTCTACTATTAAGATTGGATCATCTTTGAATAAAGGGTACCAGCTTCTCTTAATTGAGTTGAGATGGAGGGGGGTCTTGTTTATTCATAGGTGAATCAGTTTGTGAATACATATGATCACAGGATATAATGCCAAATGGGTGGGAGAAGAGTGAGGGGATTACCTTGCAGATAGCTCATCAGTGAATGTAACCCTATTAATCGGATACCATTTAGGGAACTGATCCAACACCCAAGAAATAGCAAACCAGATCTCACAAATAACAGAAGTGAGCCACAAACCATAAGAACTCTCAACTGGGTTTGTTATTCTGTAATTGAAGAAAAGCCCCAAAATGATCAATCGCAGAATAATCACAACCCGATATGGTGTAATTTGGCTCTTTGGAACTGGAACTATTTGTGAAAGTGGTTGCATTGCCCCTGCCGACCTGCACAAACCATTATCGCTTCTCATAACAACGTAATCCATGCAATGATATGTTCAATACAAATATATATATATATATATATATATATATATATATATACTTACTCCTGCTTTTCATCCATCTGTTGCTCTATAGGAATTTGAACTTCTTTAGCAGCCTTACTGACTGCCTTCTTTTTCTTGTTCTTCTTATCCTTCCAACTTTCAACCCTGTTCTTCCAGATTGGGTTCCCACCTTCATCAATCATATCTTCATAAAGAAGGAATGAAAATAGCGAACAAATTAGCGAACACAAACGAATTGATTCTAAATTGAAGTGCTAAAATTTCCATGCGACTCAAATTCAATAAACTCACCACTGTCCACTGTTGACACAGTGCTTATATTTCTTGCATGAAGTCCAGCATCCTTCACCAAAAAAGATGGGAAGACAAATTACTTAAAATGCTCTTATGGGTATACATCAAGATGCTAGAAAATTACCCGAACTCATTCAAATTTTTGAAAAGATGATTAGATCGTCATGTTCATGACTTGTACCTGACTGCTATTAAGGTGACCAGCCATAGTAGTGTGGGTGACATGCTCCTTTTCTGCCACATCAAGGGTTGTCAAGCTCCCTGTGTAATTGGAAAATATAAGGTGCAACTATGCCATTACAGTAACTCATGTGTGTTTACATATCTCAAATTCTAAGTTCATATGGAAATCAAAAAACAAAAATCCAGAAAAAGGGGATTCACAATAGAGATAAAAGAGTAATATAATACCATCATAAGGGGTACCACATTGTAAGCAAGCAGTGATGCCTTCCTTGATCTCATAATCCAAACAAGCCTTACAAATCGGGAAATTACACTCATGGCAACCCACAAATACTCCAATCCCATCGGATTGAAACCCAACTTGCTCGCCACAAGTGTTGCAATTGGGCATCTCCGGCTTCATCATTTTGCTTCCTCCCTAATCAACCCCCAATTCGCTAGGGTTTTTGAAATTGAACTCGAATTGACTTGATGGTTCCTTCTGTTCTTGATCCTTTTCTTTATATGGAGTTGAAAAACGTTTGATAGGGTATTATGATATGGTTGGTGTGGCATTTTAGCACAAGTGAAAGGGAAGGGTTGCTGGTATGGAGGTTGGGATGTTGGTGTCTTTCTTGAATTGAGATGTTGAAGCAAAGGAAAGATGATTTTCATGGTGTTGAGATTTGAAAAATATTTGCGGGAATTTGAAGGAATGCGGTTGAAGTTGCAGGTGGATTTGTCCACCCCATCGGTGTCCATTGACAGATGAACTGATCAAGGTACAAGTTTTTATGCATAATGTATAACTCATTGCTGAACTGATCAGTGTTATTTAGGTCACATTTTTATGCATTTCTTTTACAAATTTGCCACCAAATAATTTGATGAATATTTTAAAGTAAACTACAAATTCGGTCCTTGTTGTTTGTTATAAATAAAAGTTTTAGTCGCTACAGTTTTGAAATTACAAGATGATCATTGTAGTTTGTAAAAATGTCCGGATTTGATTCCTGCATTTAACGGTTGTTAAAGAGTTCGGCTAAGTGTGAGAGGCATTTTTGTTCTTTTTTTTATCTTTTACCTACGGGTGTCAATGATCCAAGTCGAGTCGAGTAATAGGTTAATCGAGTCGGGCTCAAAAAATTAATACTACACTCGAGCTTGAGTAACTTTTTCTATATAGGGTTCGAGCTCGAGTTCTAATATTTTTTGAGTTATCAAGATCGAGTTTGATGCTTATTCATGGGCTCGAACTCACAATTGACTAATTCTTTATCGGCTTGAACTCTATAATTTTTAATATTTTTATTGTATGATAAATGTATGAGCATGTTTGGCTCGAAAAAGGGTATATAATCGAATGGCTTGGCTCAGTTTAAAAATTTGAATTGAGTTTTTGAATGACCCGAGTCAAACATTAGTGTTATAAAGCTCGGCTCGTTAAGTTAAACGAGTTCTATCTTATGTTCGAGATTGACTCGAGCTCAAGATAAACGAGTTTGAGCTCGAGTAGTTCGTTAAAAGTTCGAATCGTTTACATCCCTACTTTTATCCGATCAAATCAGTTTCATGATTTTGGTTCTTTTGGTTTTTTATTGGATAAAAAACAAAAGATAATAAAAGAACGACAAAAAGTATAAGGACAAAAAGTGTTATTTTGACAAACCATAGGGACTAAATTTATAGTTTACTCAATATTTTTAAGATAATAAACAAAATGTACTTTAAATCAAACTTTCTTTTAGATAATGTATTTTTTTGCACTAATTATGATATAATATATCAATTAAAATATAAAAAAACATTAAAACAAAATTATGTTATTATTTATATAAAAATAAAATAACATAAATTTGGTATTCTAAATAAAAATAGCTAGTCATCATTTATATTAATCATATTGTAGTTTACAAAAAAAAAAAAAAACTACGAAAAAGGTCCAAGTGTTTTAGTAAAAACGATAATGTGTTTTAGTAAAAACGATAATGGTTATTGTGGATTGTATTTTGCTATGAAAACAATCTCTTGTATTACTTTCATTAAAAATGACTGTTAAGCAAGGGACATTTTAGTCCTTTTTTCCATAGTTTTTATAAAATAATGAAAACGGACCATTAATATAATTTGGTGTGTAATTTGAGATAAAGGGGCGTCCGAGATATACATAACTTGGTGTTTGACCGTCTATTGTCTGTGTATATATGTATATATTAAAGATATAATTAAGTTACCGAGTTTTAATTTTTTATTAAAGACAATTATGGGAATGAGTATAAGAACAGAAATGCCCCTCAACTAATGACACTTTGACTAATGGATTGGTGACAATAACGATCATTATTGTATTTATTGAAACACAGGGACACTTTTCGTAGTTCTGTGTAAACGACAAGAACAAAAATTGTATTTTTACTCTTCTAAAAATAAATACAATGTACGATGACAATGCATAAAAAAGTTCTAACCATTCTTTTTCTCGTTTTTTTTTTTTTTTTTTTTTGAAAAAATACCATATATCTTTTGTGATATTCGAATTCAATGTTATCAATTTTCCCATTAGGATTTTTTGGAAAATATTAAGGACGTTTGATTAGAGGTATTAAGCAGTCACTAATGGGATTGAATATAAAAGAAACTGTTTGATTTTATATAATATAATAAGTCCATTCCTCTGAAATTTTTTATTCTAGGTCAAACTGGGGAGGAGGGGGGGGGGGGGGGGGGGAATGAAAATTCATTTTCATTTTCATTCTGTCATTTTCATTCATATGTCTGAGCCAAACAATCCCATAGCGTTATTGATTTTTATCATAAATTAGGTTGAATGTCCAACCGAAGTTGATTCAATGGCTTTTTGGTTAGAAAAGACAATAATAAGGTTGAAAATTAGTTAAACTCATATGAACCCAACTCGAGAAACCCGACTACATGTAATCCACCACTTAGGAGCTGTTTGACAGTTGCTGAATGATTTGGTGCAGAATGGTTAAGTGGTCAGAATGGTTAAGAGGGCCATAATGGTTAAATGCTGAATGAAATAATGTTTTTTGGTAACTGTTCTCTGAATGACAGTAAATTACCATTTTAACCCTGATAGATCTCAAAAACCTACGATAGATAAATCTAGCATTCGATCTTGAAAGGTGAGCAAAACCTCAAAATCAAAAGGCAAATCAACGGAGATAATCAAAAACCACAAAATTCTAGAAAGATGTATACCTTTGGAGGCTTCGAAGTTGAAGGCACAGAATCATTAGGGTTTATATCTGAATCACCAGAGCTTTGATTGATTTGCTTTTCAATACAACCCAAATCCAAACAGCCCAAATCCATATCCTTCGATTATCTCAATAATGAATGAATCAAATGTGATAAAAATGAAAAAAGTACCAGTGAGTATGAAGCGACGTGCGTGAAGAGAGGGGTTGGGAAGAAGGGGTGGAAGGAGGCAGAGGCGTTTGGCATCGATGACCTGAGTATCGCCGTCGGAGAAGCAGAGGCGGGCCTAGTCGCCGATGCCATTGTCGGAGAGAGGGAATGAAAAAGGAGGCAGGTCTATGAGATGGAGAGATTGGCGAGATCGTTTGGGAGGAAGAACGATGCGTGGGAGGAGGAGAGGGAACGATGAAGCTGGAAGGAGAGGAGATGTGGGGAAGGGTAATCCTGGAAAAATAAGCCTCTGAACCATTAGGCAACCCATTAGATGAAAAATCGTTAAGAGATAATTGTCACCATTAAGAGGTTCCATTTTTTTTGCCAAACAGCCCCTGCCTCTTACCGATTAAGAGGCTCCTTTTTAATGTCACCATTAAGAAGCAAACAAACAGCCCCTTAATCAACACGTACAGTGGTTAGGCCAACTTCAAAATTACCCTGGAAAACAGGTATAATGCTAAAACTAGGATTCGAACCCATGCCATTTTGGACAAGACAATTTAATCCGATGACTTAAACAAGCTCAACCACCACAAACTTCTATCATATGTCTAAACATTACTATAGTACCCTTTAGAAATGTTATTTTTTTTCCACTAAGACGGATGCACGAAGCGGTCGCACATGCCATTGTATGCCACCACATAGATCTGCCCCGACTGACATCCACTTCTAACATGCAAAACATAACTACAAGTTTTATGTCCGAAGACCATCGATTTAACCTGCTAACACAAACTCATCCACAAGTTTTGCTCTATCATAGAATTTAAGTTTCCCGAATCATAACAAATCAAAACGGTTGACTGGTACCTTTAAGAAACGAGCAATGTTGGTCGGGGGGGCACCGCTTCTCGCTCCAGGTTATTTAGCTTAATGACCTCCTGGCAAAGTGATTCTAAATCCACACCCTTCTGACAACTTTCTAGTCATTCTTATGTATGGATGTGACATTATACTGTTGAACAGTTACATTCTCAAATATGTCAAAAGGTTATGGATTTAGAAAAAACCCAGTCAAAAGGTCATTTAACCAAAAGATCCTTCTCACTTCTTGGCTCTGGGCAGCTTATAGCTCATTATGCAACTGTATAAACCTTCACTACTTTAGAGGTATCACATACAACAAGATTTTCCGAATCAGTCGGGGTGGTGCACAGCCAATTTACCTAGCCACATACATATATAACCATAAGTCACGAGTTAAAGTTAAAAACCGAGAACTAGATATGTTTTTCTTGTCCCATGAACGAGAACTTTTAACTATTAGTCAAATACCAAAACCGCCCTCCAAGAGAGATAAAACTAAGAGATCTTGTGGCACCTTATGTGGTTAAAAAGGAGAAATAAGTAATTCTAACTTGAAGGGTTGCCAAAAAGAGAATTTAAAAATGGAAATTCTTGCACATCTTTCAAAAACAGCAAAGAAAAAGAAATCTTGGTGGAACCATTATTAGTCAACCCAACCCAATATATCCCACTTGGAGGTGGGGTTTGAGTATTGGAACGTATGCTGACCTGACCTCTACTCTCTATTCAAAGTGTAGAGCAGATGTTGAACCCATAAATGGAAACTTTTGAAGAAACATTAATGTTTCTAGGGGTCTTCATGAGAACAGCCACTCTACTCCATCAAGTACAGGTCGGTCTACGTATATCTTACCTTCCCCGGACCCATCTCAGGTGGGATATACTGGGTTCGTTTGGTTACGAGTGGGACAGAGGGAGTACAGAGGAAAGAGAGGATCAACATACTTTTCTGCTCAAATTTATGTTCAAATGTAGAAAGTCATTGTTGTCACAACTTTGGTCGGCTTCGAAGAATCTGGACCAGTTCCAAGCTTTCACAGCTTTATCATTGCCCCCTGATATTATGTACCTTCCTTTCTCCCCAAACATAGAAAATGCCCTATGTCACAGTCATAAATAATTTCAATCTTTCAATAGTTCACATTAGTACAAATAACAAAAATTAACAATTATTTGACTTTCTTGGTACCACTTTTACGCTCCAAAACTGTTATGAAGGTGTTAGCAAACTTAATATAAGAAGTGTTTGCTTTCTTATTGGAAATTTGCAATGATCATGTCAGTTTTGGACATAAAAAATGGTATTTGACTATGCATTTGGTATGCAGACAGGAACAGACATGACTGGATAGAACTGGATTGGCCAGATGCAAGTGTGAGAATTGTGGAAGGTTTTATGGTTTTAATTTGACATGGTTAGTTTAGTAATTTACCAATTTTGTCAATTCTAGTTCCAACTATTTTGATGGGACAAAAAGATTGCAATTTTGTCCTACTGTCACGCCAAATGTGAGACAACAAGTTCTTGTTCTGTAGTGTCTGTCCTACAAAAAGTATGTCAACAACGGAGTAACGAAAATGACTACTTACACACACGATACTGCAGCAGTATGCCCCCCAGAGGAATAATCTAAACGCAACCTCGTTCTTTGATTTTGATCTTGGTTTTCAGAATTTGGTGATGAAGCACTTCCATTTGATCTTGATTGACCACCTTTTCTCGGTTTTGAAGAACCCTTGGACTTGGCAGCAGAAAATTCTGATTCGATGTTAATAACATCAACAACACCATCACCTCTGGCCACAACACATATCTTGTCAAATTTATCTAACATATCAACTTCAGGAACTGTAATTGCGTGGACGAAAGCAGGATTGAAGCACTGCACATCATTACTACTCTCTGCATCATACTTTCCTGAAAGAAAGGAATCATAGATTCAATTAGATATAAAAGTGCAAGACTTGACCAACACCACCATGGCTCATATACCTTTAGAGACACCATCTTGATACTGTGAAGAGCTATCCTCTACCCTCAGTTTACGAAAAAGTGTTTGTTGGTGAAAAACCAAGTGTTTCAAGAAGTTTGAAATGCATGGAGACTATAACACATGTGGTTCAAGTCATGTGTCAAAACAAAAAGTAGCACACAAAGTATGGAGGAAAAAAATAAAGCATAAATCAAACAAAATGAAGGTAATTCTCCAGCTTCTTTTTTTCATTGTGGGGCCTGGAGAGGGTAACATATACACAGAGCTTACCTCTACCCCAAGATGGGTAGAGAGGCTTTTTCCGTAAAGACCTTTGCCTGTAACAAACACACAAAATATTGATACGTCTAGCAAGACTGAAATTGCAATTCGGCATATTCATACCCAAGTCCATAACTTTGAATGGTCGTCCTTTGGAGAAGTCCCACATTATAAGCTTTGAATCAAGCCCGCCAGTAATGACTGCAAAAGGATATTTTTCATACATCATCTCAACCAACCAAATGAGTTGCATAGGCATTTAAACAAAAACATCAGGATTTAAGAATAAGTTGCACATCTCATATGTAAAAGCACATTAGACCTTTAAATAATGTTTATAAACCAAATAAATTTGAAAAAAAAAAAGATTAGCATTGGTAAAACCAATATAAATACTAGTATTACATGACCTCTTATACTAGCAATATGGTAGTCTTACGCTTCTTTAAATACGATGAATATATCTCGATAGAATAAGATGATAGAATATAATATGGATTTATTCCCCATATATTATTAATTTATGATGTTTATCCTTTAGTAGGTCTTTCCTAATCATATTAGGATTCTATAGATATCTCCTATTTGCAGTAGGACTCTCTCGTGACCAGTATATAAATAGATAGCAATCTTGTTAGGACTAAAATAGTCCTAAGCATTTGAAAGTTTTATAAAGTCCTTTTACTTTGTATTGTATTGTAATATTTGTAATTGGGCTTAAGGGTATTGGGCTAGCTTTAACTTGTAAATGTCACCTATAAATAGGTGACATGGTCTAAGATTAGCATGTTGTTAATTCTAGTTGATCATGTTAAGTCGGTTGATCATGTTCATCTTCATCTTCTACATCTCTTAATCTTCATCTACATTCTTGATTTGCTGTATGATTTGGGACTCACAAATGAAGAAGCCCTTGTCAAGGAACTCAATTATTCTCTAATATATCTAGTCAAAACATATAAAAAATAACCCTGAATATATTCATTTTCAGATTCAACGCAATGGTTGGTGTATAAAATAAAAACACACAGGGATGCATGCAGTGAAACTATATGAAAAATAATACCTTCCCAAGGTCTCCAAGGAAGAAATTGCACACTGCTACATATCTGGAAATACGTTAAGTTGACAAGCAACTAAATGACTGTAGAGGCCACACACCATTTACAACTAAAGGCTATATATTAGAAAATAGCAAATAATGAGGAACCAGAGGGGACTCTCTTTCTGCTTCTCTCTTTAATTTGTATTGTTTTGTGTCCGTGTTCTTATTTGTGCCAGGGGCACATATAAGAAGATGTCTGATTATGAAGTGATGCTCTCATCTACAAATGTACAGTCTGTTGATTGATCATTTCAATCTAGTAAGAAACCACATTAGGTGGTTGATTTAAAGATACACTTTCATGGGCAGCTCTTAATGTCTTATAAAGGCACTTTTGGCGTATGTCAATGATCTGCAAGACAATGATCACTAGTCAATACATGGAGAATAGCTTTATTGTTAACAAGAGTGAATTGATAAGAACCGGAAAGACATATATATTGATAATAGACAAGAAATAGAACATATTAACAAACTTAACAAACAAGTGAACAGACCTATATTCGAGAGACAGGCCAACTCTCCTAATGCTATGGCCTACTTTCCACAGGTAGACCAACTCTCCTAAGATGCTCAGTCACTCGATTCTATTTGACAAAGAAAATAAGCATAGTAATCTCCTGGCACTCCCACTCTATTAGTCTCTCGACTCTCATATATAAAATACCAAAATTGCCATTGCTTACTAGTTTTCATACTTATTTATAGAATGGACCTATACTGGTTTAGACGTAACATAAATGCCTAGCTAGAAGGCAGAAGATAGAGCCATAGTGGGAGAAAAAGGAAAAATAAAATCATTGACCAACTACAGGCAGATCAAGCACTTTTATAAGCTTAATTGCTGATTAAGAATGGCAGAGAAATTTGTGTATGCATCGAGGATGTTAAGGTTGAAAAATTCACTAGGCAAATTTCTATGCTTGATAGGAATTACAGATAGATTGGACAAGGGAAGCAAACTTTCAAAAGATATTTGCTTCTTATTGTTATGGTTTTGAATAGGAACAAGGTGATGAAATATCGCACCACAAGATTATTTCATTGTTTCTGCTTTTGGCACTGATGAATTATGCTACCGATTTGATCTATAGATGACAACTTAAAAAGGGAACGACATATTTTATGATAATTTAACTCAAGTATGTAACAACTCTACATTAGAGATGCATCATGTTGTAGAGAAGAAGAAAAAAAATCTATCAACCAAATAAACAAACCTTTATATCACCACCATCGTCTGCAGCTGCAAGAAATGATGACTTTGAGTTGCATGTGATCTGCATTAAAAGAAGTGTATGTTCAACGATGATGAAAATGGTGCCCATCTATCATTAGCTTCCGAGTTTAGAAAAAGAAAAACAGATAGCTAAGGTGGGAAAATAGTATAAGTTCCAGGGATAAGAGAAGTTGGGAAAGCAAAGCCAATGAAAGGAGAAATTGTGAACTCTATAACAACCTGGTGTATGAAGCTATACATGGAATGGAAAACAATGTCTCGAGGAAACACAAAATCTATAACTTAAAATGAACACCAATGTGAGAGGGTAAACTCCTTATTAAAGTAAACTATAATGTCACCACTGTGGAAGTGAAACTGTGACCAACACCAACTTATCGTGTTTGACATTGTTGGATGGTTGGCATGCAAGTTATTTAAACCTACATGCCAAGGAAAATAATAAACATCATAAGAAAAGGTTAAAAAACACAAGTTAGTTCTAGACCACATTTCAATCACGGCCTTCTAATGTTCTATGCTCAAAGAAATAAACTAGCACATATTGTTGTCAGCCTTCAATATCCGCACTTATATGTAATACATGGCCATAATTAAAACAAAGTAGGAACTTCTGGATAAATGATGATGAAAATTTGAACCTGGTTTATCTCCTCTTTGTTGTAGTTGTAACTCTCCAATGGCTTCCATGATGCAAGCTGTAAGATGAACTTCAGTTTTGCAGCCTCTAAGAATAAGCATGGAACAAAAATTGTTCTCAAGAAAATCAACAGACATTTGTACGTCAAGTGAAAAATGCACCAGCACAAATATGTAAAAAGAAAACTTCATTGTTCCATAAAAAGAGTACACATATGACAGTTCAGTTGTCTCTCCCTACATCCGACAAAGAGTCCCACATTTGACTTATTTTGAATGTCAAATGAATCAACATTTCACAGTCAGACTTGGAGCGAACTGTTTAGATTGTAGCCAAATAAAATTGAAAGCTACTATCAACTACAAAAATGGTATGCAATAAGAGAAATTGTTAGACATAAAAAACCTATATCAATTTTGAATTTGAAAAGTAATACATTTGAATATTACTAAGAAAAGGTGACACAAATGGTGGGGATGAGGGTACACTTAATTCATTGGGAACAGATTGTAACTATCCTACACAAGAGGTACTTAATAATTATACTACAAAAATTGGGTATTATAAAGGTAAAGAAAATTGTACAAATAATGAATCAGGATTACTATGTTTTGACTCTTAAAAGTCGTTTACAAACTTTTTTCTATGAGATAAAGGGAGTAATATAAAGAAAAAGAAACATAAAGATTATCCAATAAAAATTACCATATGTACATCAAAGACCTTCACTTCATTTTCTGAGGAAGCATATATAATATCTTCATTCCCTACATCATCAAGAAATGCAAGCAACCAATAAACATTACTACCTTCCGGATGCTGATGAGATTAGCCCATACATTCATGTTTTATCTAAGCAAAAACTTTCATAAGAAATAAATAACATAACATATATCTCTCCATTCATGCACCTAAACCATTTCTAGTTTAAGTTTAAGCTACATTAGATATTTTGTACCTTTGCAGAAGATCACTCTCAAATTCAATTTTTCCTACAACAAAGCCGCCAATTTTTAAGTCTAATCCAGGAGACAGGATATCCATTATACATTACCTACACCAAGCCCTTCGTCAATCAAATGCAACTCCAAATGCCGTTGATCTAGCCATTGGTCTTTATGAAGCCAAATATATATCTCTTTCCTAATGTTTTTATATGATCACTTGTCTCCTTTGCCTAGATCTTTAATTGCTTGTACAAAACAAGTCTCTATTCCTAAAGATTGTTCTCGCAAGGCTTTAAGCCATTTTGGCTAGAGCATTGCAGCAATAAAGGATAATTCCTCGTATGAAAATAAAACTTGCAACTTGGTGGACCTACCCAAAGGAAAGAAGGATGTTGTATTTAAATGTGTATTTACGGTCAAAGTTAACTTTGATGGTTTCTTGGTTTGTGTTAAGGCACGAGTAGTTGCTAGAGGATATGCTCAAGCTCATGGAGTTGGATACATGAACCTAACATCTCAAGTAACAATATCTCACTGTGGCTCACCCAGCTCCTTAAAGATTTTCATTTACTAGAATGGTGCTTCAGGTTGATCATAGTGCATAGGAATCATAGATTATTGTGTCTTAGTTGGTGGAAACCTGGTTTCATGGAGGCAAAAGAAGCAAAATATTGCATCCTGATCTACTGTTGAATTTGAGTACAGAGCCATGACAGAGTCTGCATGTGAAATTATCTGAAACCTTTTAGCAAAAGTTGGTTTCAAGTGTTCGTGACCAGAAAAACTTTTGTGTGATAAACTGATAATCAGGTTGATCTTCGTATTGTCTCAATCTATTGTTTCATTGTCACTTGGTTTTTAAGAAAATTCAAGAGACTTATATCTACCAAAGTCATAAAGCTGTGAAATCAAATAGATGATGCATTCAGAAAACCTTTAGTGGGTCTCAGGTTGAATATCTGGTGTAACAAGATGGGAATTCTCCAGTTTAAGGGGGAGTGCTACAGTTTACAGAGTTGACTGTCCATGTCTGCCAAGCATAGTGATAGGAAGCTAGCTCCTGGTATCTCCTTACCGTAACACCTATAATTTCTACATAAACCTATGATTCTGAAGTGAACAAATCATCAAGAAATATTCTACCTATTACCTGTTTGTCTTACATTTAGCAAAGGTTGAATACTCACTTAACACTCAATAAGTTTGGCCTTAAGTCCAGTTAGAATTATGTTGATGCATATGGTTAGATGTATCCTAAAGAATTTGTGGAGTCCAAGATAATCTTGTTGTAATGGAGAGCAACCAAATCAAAGACAAAAAAAAGGTATTATGAAAGTTAAACATGTTAACAAACAAGAAATCATGAAAAAACCATTTGAGGAAACAAAGATAAATTGCTACAAAAGTATCAAATCCCAATAACACAGACCTGGTTTGAAGCATAATGAGGAAATAGGATTTTGTGCAACATCAATGGTATGCAATAGATCTTTACATCGCATGTCAAACCAGCAAACACGCCCATCCTGTATACACCATAACATCATTCAATAATTAATTTCTTCCAGTAATTCTTTTGACGGTGTTCAAGAGCGGAATTCAACCAATAAAGAACATCACATTGCAAACTTTTTGTCGCCCTCGCCCCAAAAAAGAATTACACTTTGACATGCCTTTGAGGTCAACCTCGGAACATATGAAATACAAAATGAACTCTTTGATATGTACATAACATCAACACTTTTCAATCTATTACATATCTTATACTGTTTAATCCATTGATTAAACTTTTCTCTTAAATACAAAGAATCGTATTATTCTTTAAACTGGATGTTAATCCTATTGACTCCAAAAAGGCAATGTTAGGCTTAGAGAATGCAACAAGATTGCATAAAAATTAAAACCAACTCCAATCAAATTCAAAGTGGACGGTTACTACTCCTGAAACTCGTAAGCTAGAACTCAAGCAATTTAATGTTGTTATGAGGAATTCATAAAATATAAATAATACATACCAGTTTTACAGGTGAATGCTAGTTTTATTGACTCAAAAGCAACATAATCCGTAATGTACAAAGAATTCCAATCAATTCTGTAGTTAAAAGTCAATCGGTGCAAACTTAAAGTCGAGAGTTCGTCTCCTTTTCGGAATGTAAGGATTACTCGGTATCAATAACGAAACAGTAAAGCGACAACAAAAGCCAAAACAAGCAAAGAAGAAGAAAATAAAGACGAGAGAAAGGGTGCATACTTCGGCGGAGGAGGCGATGATGCCAGGGCGGTCGCGGGAGGCGATACAGCAGGTGGCGATGGCTTTATGGCCTCTCAGGCGTCTTACCTGTGATCTTCCAGCAGGCGTAGCGTTGGTATCCTTCACACTGGCTTCCGCCATTTTTGTTTCTTGATGTTGAACTGAAATTTCGCGACGTCACACATTTATCATTTTATTTAGAGTAAATTGCATTTGTAGTCCCTGTTTTATGTCATTTTTCTTGATTTGGGTCCCTATAGTTTTTATTATTTCAAATTTGTCCCTGTAGTATGCATTTTTTCTTTGTGTTGGTCCCTGTACTAACAAATGTTAAGTTCCATCCGTTAAAAGAAGGGTATTTTTAGTATTTTCCTTTTCTTTTCATTTTTGTCTCGTTTTCCTTTAAAAGATGTAACTACCACTCACCATCATCTTACATCATCACCATACATGACCGATGATCACCCAATTTAACGACAATTAGGGTGTTTATGGGTTGGGTTGATTGAATTGAAGATATTTGAACAACCTAACTCAATGCTTGCAGTTTGGAAAAATCTTAACCCAACCCAACCCAAATCAAAATGCAATCCAACCAAACCTAACCCGTATGGGTTGGTCGGGTTAGTCGGGTTGGTCGGATTGATACTTTAGTATATTAAAATATTCTTCTAACCTTGAATATGTTATTTCTATACTCATAATTTCTTTTTCATCATCAACCCTTTGATACAACTTATCCATATTTCTTACGTATATCACATTCAATTAATTTTCTCAATTTACATATATATGTTCACAGTTACTGAACATATATATGAATGAGTTATATAGAGATATGAATAGATTAAAAATATGTGTATATGAAAAGCATACATGATAGTGTAATTGTCTAATGTATATATTAATAGAAGTTCAACAAGCATATTAAATCCAAGAAATAAAAGAATATCGGGTTCATCGGGTTGGGTTGAGTTCAAATAATAGTAACCCAATATCAACCCAATACCTACGGTTTGACAATTTTACAACTCGATTAGACATCGGATTGGGTTATTTCACGTTAGGTTGGGTTGGGTTGGGTTGGTCGGATTTTTGAGCACCTCTAACCACAATACAATAAACTCTAAAAAATATCAACATGCAATCACAAACAGTAAACACAAACAACAATTTTGTGCATATTCATTCAGAAATTCATGATAGCAACCCTAAATACCACCAAATGAAATCCAATTTCAAGTACCACCAAATCCCGTAAACCAACTGGGTCCTCAGTTTTTACAGTTCCTAGTGCTTCGGCCCATATATACACCTGTTCGAGTCCCCACATTGACTAGACTCGTAACATTTATCCTCTATATATGTTGAAACCTTACTCCCTCAGTGGCTCTTTCATAAAGTAATCTAATGAGATTACCCATCTTGATGTACTATTTTCTCTTTTTAATATATTTTCAGTTCGTTTTCTAAAATGTGAAATAGATAGTTGAAATGACAAGAATACATTTAAATTGCTGGAATGAAATATGATGAGTATCAGAAGGTTACATAAAAGAAGCTCTACACTATGAACATTGTGAGGATGTGGCTTCAATCCCGTTGTAAGTGACCATATTCGGTGCTACTACCCTCAAACCCTTCATGTACTCTTCTCCAATCTAGAACCCATCTTTCCGATCGTTAGTACACAATTTTTTTTCACGTGGGTAACAATAGTACGTTCGAAGTATCGTGTCTATAATAGAAGACAATTAGCTAATCGTTAGTGTTCTCCATCGAAATACCCCATTATATTAGGTGAACTTGCTTTTAGGTGGGAATCTGATGCCATTTACGTATATTTTTTTTATTTTCTATTTTGAATTTATATTTCTGAAAAGAGAAAATCTTTCTTACTTTGAAGGAGGTCATACTACACACTTTTGTGATGCGAGCCTAAGCTTGGAGGACCGAACCTTATAGTTTGTGGAAGCCCGTTTTTTTTTCTGGAGGTCTTATTTATATATTGGTTGTGTAAGGTAGATGCACTATAACGAAATTGAGTTTATAGACCGTCACCAATAAATAAGTGTTTTAATAGATCACTTTATAGGATATAAAATATAGTGGTTCTTGATTGGAGGAGCCGCCCCCCTCTTTATAAAAAAAAATATAGTAGCAAAAAAAATAAAACGTCTTATCTAAAGACGTAGTAATAAGTTTATAGGAACCTTTTGGACGTCTTAACAAGTTTCTTAGGACAATTTTATAAAAAAAACCCCGTCATATTAGCTATTTTATATGATATTATTGAAAAAATGTCCTATAAACACAAGTGTCCTATAAAAAGATGAGTTTATAGGACATTTTTATCAAACATGTCCTATAAAATAGGTAATGCAACATTTTTTTTAATTAAAATCGTACTAAAAGATTTGTTAAAACGTCCAAAGGTCTATATTTGAGTTGGCTAAATAGCGATATTTTCCGGTGGAATGGAAACTAACTAAAGAGACATTTTCCTAGAAATTTTGAAGGGTCATTTCAAATCAAGAAAAGCAAACATTTTCGTAACTTCTTTTAAAAAGAAAATCTTGGGGATATGATGGGTCGAAATATGTGAAGATTGTCAGCAGCGTTGATGAGAAATTATTAGAAGCTTACAAAAATTCAAAGTATTTTCGATTCTACATCGGGGACATCATCGGAACTCCTTTAAAAATCAAGAGAGCATATATGGTATTAGGGACCATCTGATCAAAACTTCTTGCTCATGTGAACAAAAAGCTCAAAAGGCATCATACCTAGAATAAACCATTCTAGTTCACAGAATATTTACAAAATAAACTAGTATGCCCATTATAAAAGGCTCGCTCGAGACACCACTGGGACATGACAAGCAAGAAAAAAAAATCTAGGAGCAATTACCACTATGGTAGAGGAGAATAACAGCGCAATTCTCCTGGGGCAGAAGAGTCCGAGCACTTGAATGATGTTTTTGGAACACGTTCTGCCAAAGGAGAATTGCCCTGCCATTCTAAAACTCTCCCGTCTATCGTGCATTTAACCTTCAACTGTGCTTGCAAGAACCATTCGTGTACCAAATTCATTTCATGCACAAAGCATCCCACGAGGTTGAACATTGCATGTGTGGTGAGTCGTGTCAGTTAATTCTTACACACTTAGAAACGACTATATAAATAACAATTCTAATGTTGTGATATTAATTTGAAGTTCTCTAGTGGAAGAGGCATTGTGATCAGCAAACATATAGCCACCTGAATCTTGAAAGCTACACAAATGCAAATTCTGCTGAAAAATCCACAAACAGAAGATCAACATCAAGTTATTTTACATTTTCCCCGGGGCCGGGGGAGGGAGGAATTTGTTACTTGGAGGCACAATAACAAAATCAACTTTATATGACACATCTTCTTAAGACAAATTTTCAAATAATGTCATATAAGACGCTAATATATGACATTTTATTTAAAGTTGTCCTAAAAAGTTTGTTAGGACGCCTAAAAGAATCATATCAACACATTGTGATACATTTATGTATGCCGCACAATTGTTTAGCCCTAAACTTGAGTCCTACCCAATTAGCAGTCTATTAAGATATTTAAACAGTTAAATCTATAAAACCGAATTCATTATAGCTTAGTGAGGCCAAGTTGTCTTTATAGTTTGCCGGCATGAAAGACAACTTGGCCTCACTAAGTTACAACGAATTCAGTTTTATAGTTTAACTGTTCAAGTATCTTACTAAAGTGCTAATTGGGTAGGACTCAAGTTTAGGGCTAAACAATTGTGCATCATACATAAATGTATCACAATTTGTTAATAGGATTCTTTTAGGCGTCCTAACAAACTTTTTAGGACAACTTTAAAATAAAGTGTCATATATTTGCGTTTTTATATGATATTATTTGAAAATTTGTCTTAAAAAGACGTGTCCCCGGAAAAATGTGATGTTGATCTACTGTTTGTGGATTTTTCAGCGGAATTTGCATATCTGTAGCTTTCAATGTTTAGGTGGCTATATGTTTGCTGATCACAATGCCTCTTCCACGTGAGAACTTCAAATTAATATCACAACATTCGAATTGCTATTTATATAGTGTGATCTTTCATCACCTTGTTCCTATTCAAAACCATCACAATAAGAAGCAAATATTTGTTGAAAATTTGCTTCCCTTGTTCATTAGGCCAGTAAAACTAAGAAACAGAAAAGTTGCGTTAATCACCATAATCCAATCTATCTGTAATTCCTATCAAGCATAGAAATTTGCCTAGTGAGTATTTCAACCTTAACATCCTCGATGCATACACAAATTTTTCTGCCATTTTGTTAATCAACAATTAAGCTTATAAAAGTGCTTGATCTGCTTGTAGTTGGTCAATGATTTTTATTTTTGCGTTTTCTCCCCACTATGGCTCTATCTTCTGCCTTTTAGCTATGCATTTATGTTACGTCTAAACCAGTCTATGTCCATTCTAGGAGTAAGTATAAAAACTAGTAAGCGATGGCAATTTGGGTATTTTATATATGAGAGACAGTGGCGGACTTACTTAGGAAGAAGTGGGGGAAGGGACCCCACTAAAAAACAAAATTAAAAGTGTTAAAAAAGTAGTTTTTCTTTTTTAACTTTTCTCTTAGTTCCTCCCAATAAATTTTTACAAGGGACCCCACAACCCTAGTCGACCATCGCTGACTCCAAAAAGGTCTCTTGAAATCGACTAAAAAACCAAAAAATTCTATTGAAATCAAGACAAAAAACGAAAAAGTCTTTCGAAATCGACAAAAGCACTAAAAAAATCCCTCAAAATGAACCAAAAATCTTTAAAAATCCATTGAAACGTTGTAATTAGGTTAAAAACACGTCGGATGACTTTGCGGGCTTTTAGTCTACCTTAAAGGTGACCCCATTTGGCAAAAATCTAGGATCCGACACTGATGAGAGACTATAAATAAAGTGGGACTGCCAGGAACTTTCTATGCTTATTTTCTTTGTCAAATAGAATTGAGTGACCGAACATCTTAGGAGAGTTGGTCTACCTGTGGAAAGTAGGCCAGAGTTGGCCTGTCTCTCGAATATAGGAATGTTCAGTTGTTCGTTAAGTTTGTTAATTTGTTCTATTTCTTGTTATTTGCTATTTTCTAATATATAGCCTTTAGTTGCAAATGGTGTGTGTGACCTCTACAGTCATTTAGTTGCTTGTCAACTTGACGTATTTCCATATATGTAGCAGTGTGCAGTTTCTTCCTTGGAGACCTTGGGAAGGTATATGTTTTGACTAGATATATTAGAGAACAATTGAGTTCCTTGACAAGGCACTACAACAAAATCGGGTTTATAGGACACTCCTAATTTCTAAGTGTCCTAATAGACCTCTTTATAGGACTTAGTTTATAGGACCAAAAAAATAAAGCGTCCTATCTAAAGGCGTTGTAATAAGTTTATATGACGTTTTTTGACGATGTAAAAAGTTTTTTAGGATACTTTTAATATAAATCGTTCCATTAGCAACTTTATAGGACACTATTTGAAAAACCGTCCTATAAAACAAATGTCTTTTAAAAAATTGAGTTTATAGGACACTTTCTAAAAAATGTCATATAAAGTTGTTAATGCGACACTTTATATTAAAAATGTTTTAAAAAACTTGTTAAGACTCCCAAAAGCGTCATATAAACTTATTACAACATCTTTAGATAAGACGCTTTATCTTTTGGTCCTATAAATTAAGTCCTATAAAGAGGTCTATTGGGACGCTTTATATTTTGCTTTATTTTTTCCTTCATAATTTGTCGCTACTTTTTGTTTGACACATGACTTGAACCACATGTGTTATAGTCTCCACGCATTTCAAACTTCTTGAAACACTTTTTTCACCAACAAACGCTTTTTCGTAACCAGAGGGTAGAGGATAGGTCTTTACAGTATCAAGATGGCGTCTCTAAAGGTTTACGAGCCATGGTGGTGTTGGTCAAGTCTTGCAGTTTTAATATCAAATGAATCTATCATTCCTTTCCTTTCAAGAAATGATCCAGAGAGTAGTAATGTGGTGCACTGCTTCAATCCTGCTTTCGTCCATGCAATTGCAGTTCCTGAAGTTGATATGTTAGATAAATTTGACAAGATATGTTTTGTGGCTAGAGGTGATGGTGTTGTTGATGTTATTAACATCAAATCAGACTTTTCTACTGCCAAGTCCAACGGTTTTCGAAACCGAGAAAAGGTGGTCAATCAAGATCAAATGGAAGTGCTTCATCTCCAAATTCTGAAAACCAAGATCAAAATCAAATAACGAGGTTGCGTTTAGATTATTCCTCCGGAGGGCATACTGGTGCAGTGTCGTGTGTGTAAGTACTCATTTACGTTACACCATTGTTGACATATGTTTCGTAGGACAGACAGTACAGAACAAAAACTTGTTGTTTCATGTTTGGCGTGGCAGTAGGACAAAATTAAAATCTTTTTGTCCCATAACAGTTGGAACTAAAATTAGTAAATTACTAAACTAACCATGTCAAATTAAAACCTTAAAACCTTCCACAATTCTCACACTTGCATCTTGCCCGTCCAGTTCTATCCGATCATTTCTGCATTACCAAACGCACTGTCAGATACCAATTTTTATATCCGAAACTGACATGATCATTGAAAATTTCCAATAAGAAAGCAAACACTTCTTATTTTAAGTTCGTTAACACCTTCATAACAGTTTTGGAGCGTAAAAGTGGTACCAAGAAAGTCAAATAATTATAAATTTATGTTATTTGTAGTAATGTGAACTATTGAAAGATTGAAATTATTTATGATTGTGACAAGGGGGCATTTTCTACGTTTGGGGAGAAAAGAAGGTACATAATATCAAGAGCCAACGATAAAGCTGTGAAGGCTTGGAACTGGTCCAGATTCTTCGAAGCCGACCAAACTTGAACATAAATTTGAGCAGAAAAGTATGTTGATCCTACTTTTCCTTTATACTCCCTCCGTCCCACTCGTAACCAAACTTGTGACAACAATGACTTTCTACATTTGAACCTGAGGTGGGTCCGGGGAAGGTAAGATATACGCAGACCGACCTGTACTTAAAAGAGTAGAGTGGTTGTTCTCATGAACACCCCCGGAAACATTAATGGTTCTTCAAAAGTTCCCGTTTATGGGTTCAACTTTCAATCTAAAATAATATATTTGTCCATAATAACTAGTAACGGTTTCACTTCATTGAAATATTTGCTCTACACTTTGGAATAGAGAGTAGAAGTCAGGTTTGCATACATTCCAATACTTAAATCTCACCTCCAAATGGGATATATTAGGTTGGGTTGATTAATAACGATTTCACAAAGATTTCTTTCTCTTTGTTGTTTTTGAAGGGTGTGCGAGAATTTCCATTTTTTAAATTCTCTTTTTGGCAACCATTCAAGTTAGAATTACTTTCTCCTTTGTAACCAAGAAGGTGCCACAAGATTCCTTAGTTTTATCTCTCTTGAAGGGCGGTTTTGGTATTTGACTAATATTTAAACGTTTTCGTTCACGGGACACGAAAAACATATCATGTTCTCGGTCTATAACTTTAACTCGTGACTTATGGTTATATATGTATGTGGCTAGGTAAATTGGCTATGCACCATCCCGACTGATTCGGAAAATCTTGTTGTATGTGATACCTCTAAAGTAGCGAAGTTTTATACAGTTGCATAATGAGCTAAAAGCTGCCCCGAGCCAAGAAGTGAGAAGGAAGAATCCTTTGGTGCAAAATAATGTGTGTCCATATGATAATTTTAGATAATAAGGTTTATACAGTTGCATATTGAATTATTAGATAACAGATAATTTTTGTTGTAATGCACAAATAGACCTTGATAGAGTGTTTGTTAGAAGGATTCTTTATCGACAAATAATGTAAGTCCGTATGATCATATAACTCTTGATAATGAAAATCTAGAGTGTTTAATTATTAGATGAATTCCTTATCGAAAAACAATGTGTGTTCATCTGATAATGATAATATAACTGCTGATAATGAAAATCTTTATCCCTCACTTGTCGTCTTTTTCAATCCTAGAACTCATTTCTATATTTGTCGGCATGAAAACCATCAAAAGCTACTATGTTTACATTTGTTGAATATTAATTATACAAATCTCTTTTTGTTGTGTTTATTTCGAGCCTAACATGGGACAAAGAAGTGTTTTTATCCTACTCTTAACTTGATTATAAGAATATTAACAAAAAATGAACATGTATTTGAACCGTATGTGATTCGAACATGGTAACTTTGAAGTTGGCCTAACCACTATACGTGGAGATTAAGTGGTGAATTACACGCGGTCAGGTTTCTCGACTTGGGTTCATATGAGTTTAACTCATTTTCAACCTTATTATTGTCTTATAAACCCATAACCCATAAGAATGGTTAGAACTTTTTTACGCGTTGTCATTGTACATTGTATTTATTTTTAGAAGAGTAAACTACAATTTTTGTTCTTGTCGTTTACACAGAACTATGAAAAGTGTCCCTATGTTTCAATAAATACAATAACGATCATTATCGTCACCGTTAATTAAAGTGTCATTAGTTGAGGGGCATTTTCGTTCTTATACTCATTCCCAGAATTTTCTTTTATGTTATTTTATTTTTATATAAACAATAGCATAATTTTATTTTTATGTTTTTTAAGGTAAGAACGTAAAAAAAGTGATGAAACATAATTCTAATCATAAGCACGAAATTAATGAAATGTTAAATTGAATAAATGTAATGTTAATAAAGGAAAATGAAGTAGAAATATCAAATATAAGGACATTAATCTAGTACATAAAATATGGATCTAATCTGCAGGCACGAAATGTAAATTCAATAAATCAAGAACATATTACAAACTACTCGTTACCAAATTAGAGGATAACCTCTAGTTATCAAAAGCGCTGATTGAAAAAGGAAAATGAAAATTAACACAAAAGAAGAAAGAGGCCGAATGAAAAAAATGGAAGCGCGAGGTTCTGTGCGTCAAACGGCACAACCGTGTGAGCTATTTTCCTTTTTTTCCCCCCGATAAAACAAGCTATGTTCTTTCTCTTTTGGTTTATCTTGCTTTGTTCGTCAACTTTTAGTTTCTTCTTCTTAACACTTGATTTTTCATCCAAATGACCTGAAAAATCACCAAGGACATACCAAAGGGCCTTTGGCCTAGCGATATCGTAGTCCTTGGCCTTCTAGGAGGTCAGAGGTTCAAACCTCACCATATGTGAGGAGGGTGTGTGAGTTTATTTGTTGCATTTGCCGTATATAAATATTATATACTTCAAAAAAAAAATCACCAAGGACATCAAAACCCACATGGCATATATGTCTGCATACAAGTCTTATATCGACTAGATTTGGACTATTTCACCTATATATATATATATATATATATATATATATATATATATATATATATATATATATATGTCACAACCCCTATTTCTTACCTCAAGAGCTCTTTTGGAGAGTAACTTATTGGGTTTCATTTATTTTCTCATAATATCAGAGTCAAAGTCTATCACTCTAGACAAATTGTACTATTCTGTCCCCCTCTTGACACTCATTAACAATCTTTCCCCGTCTAGCTGGCCTCTAGGGATATGTTAGAATCCTGTATCCGTTAGACTTTGACCATTTCACCTCTATATATGTTGGAACACACACAATGTAAAAATCGGAAATATGTAAAAAGAATATAATAAATAGGGATAATAGTGCATGATATTATGTAACTAAAATAAAAGGCTAAATATATATGAGCTTAAGATCTATCAGTTTTTCCCCAATTAAATTTAATCTACTTCAGTATATTTGGTAAAGTCATGTTGGACAATTAAGTAAGAGCAATTTGTATGTATATATAGTTGATTTATTGTCACATAGCATGTTTATCGCTGAAGTATAGAGTCATGTTTATTGATGAAGCATTTTTATATGATACTATTTGAAAATTTGTCTTAAAAAAGATGTGTCGTATAAAGTTGATTTTGTTATTGTGTTTCCAAGTAACTAAGTCCCCCCCTTCCCCGACCTCTGGAAAAATGTGAAATAACTTGATGTTGATCTTCTGTTTGTGGATTTTTCCGTGGAATTTGCGTATGTGTAGCTTTCAATATTCGGGTGGCTATATATGTTTGCTGATCATAATGCCTCTTCCACAAGATAAGTTCAAATTAATATCACAGCATTCGAATTGCTATTTATATAGTCGTTTCTAAGATTGTGCAAGAAGTAACTAACACAACTCACCGCATATGCAATGTTCGACCTCGTGGGATGCTTTGTGCATGAAATGAATTTGGTACAAGAATGTTTCTTACAAGAACAGTTGAAGGTCAATTGCACGATAGACGGGAGAGTTTTAGAATGGCAGGGCAATTCTCCTTTGGCAGAACGTGTTCCAAAAACATCATTCAAGTGCTCGTACTCTTCTGCCCCAGGAGAATTGCGCTGTTATTCTCCTCTACCATATTGGTCACGGTTACTAAACATTTTCTTGCTTGTCATGTCTCGATGGTGTCTCGAGCGAGCCTTTTATAATGGGCATACTAGTTTACTTTGTAAATATTCTGTTGAACTAGAATGGTTTATTCTAGGTATGATACCTTTTGAGCTTTTCGTTGACATGAGGAAGTTCTTATCAGATGGTCCCTAGTACCATATATGCTCTCTTGATTTTTAAAGGAGTTCCTAAGATGCCCCCTATGGAGAATCGAAAATACTTTGAATTTTTGTGAGCTTTTGATAATTTCTCATCATCGTTGCACGACAATCTTCACGTATTTCAGCCCATCATATCCCCAAGATTTTCTTTTTAAAAGAAGTCACGAAAATGTTTGCTTTTCTTGATTTAAAATGACCTTCAGAATTTCTAGAAAATTGTCTCTTTAGTTAGTTTCCATTCCACCGGAAAATATATGGAACTTTTGCTCTTTAGCCAACTCAGAAATAGACCTTTCTGGTATTTCTAAATATGCTCAAAAAGAAATGTTACTCAGTCGTCCTCACCTGCTTGAGAAGAAGATGCAATGATATCGAAGCGAAGATTAATCTTGTTGATTCTGGGAATACCTAGGAATATATATAACCTCTTCTAGAGTTCGTTGATTCAATGAATGTCAAGCTTTAGACTCAAACTTATTTATAAGACTATATTTTATCGCCTATAAGGTGGTCTATTAGAACGCTTATTTATCGGTGGCGGCCTATAAACTCAATTTTGTTATAGTGCATCCACCTTACACAACCAATATATAAAGAAGACCTCTAGAAAGAAACGGGTTTCCACAAACTTCAAGGTCCAGTCCTCCAAGCTTAGGCTCGCATCACAAAAATGTGTAGTGTAACCTCCTTCAAAGTAGGAAAGATTTTCTCTTTTCAAAGTAGGAAAGATTTTATCGTCAAGCTTTTGGGGGATCTCTTTCGCTCATTAATTTTAATAACTCATTTTTTTCAAAAATAGAAATTTAAAATAGAAAATAAAAAAAATACACCTAAATGGCATCAGATTCCCACCTAAAAGCAAGTCCATCTAATAGAATGGGGCATTTGGATGGAGAACACTAACGGTTAGCTAATTGTATTCTATTCTAGACATAATACTTCGAACGTATGATTGTTATTCACGTGATTTTTTTTTATGTGTACTAACGATTGGAAATATGGGTTCTAGATTGGAGAAGAGTATACGAATATGGTCACTTACAACGGATTGAAGCCACATCCTTGCGATGTTCATAGTGTAGAGCTTCTTTTATGTAACCTTCTCATACTCATCATATTTCATTCTAGTCAACGTAGGACTCAATTAACAAGGTGTATATATGGGCCAAAGCACCAGAAACTGTAAAAACTAAGGAACGAGTTGGTTTTGTGGGATTTGGTGGTATTTGGAATTGGATTCCATTCCAATCCCATGATTGGTTTAAAGAAAGTTCAGATTGATGATTTGTTCACTTCAGAATCATAGGTTTATGTAGAAATTATAGGTGTTACAGTAAGGAGATACCAGGAGCTAGCTTCCTATATATCACTATGCTCGGCAGACATGGAAAGTCAACTGTATAAACTGTAGCACTCCGCATGAAACTGGAGAATTCCCATCTTGTTACACCAGATATTCAACCCAATAAAGGTTTTCTGAATATATCATCTATTTGATTTCACAGCTTTATGACTTTGGTAGATATAACCAAGTGACAATGAAACACAATACGAAGATCAACTTGATTATCAGTTTATGACACTAAAGTTTTTCTGGTCACGAACACTTGAAACCAACTTTTGCTAAAACGTTTCAGATAATTTCACATGCAGACTCTGTCATGGCTCTGTACTCAAATTCAACAGTAGATTAGGATGCAATATTTTGCTTCTTTTGCCTCCATGAAACCAGGTTTTCACCAACTAAGACACAATAATCTATGATTCCTATGCACTATGATCAACCTGAAGCACCATTCTAGTAAATGAAAATCTTTTAGGAGCTGGGTGAGCCACAGTGAGATATATATTGTGACTGACTTGAGATATGAGGTTCATGCATCCATCTGCATGAGCTTGAGCATATCCTTCAGCAACTACTCGTGCCTTAAAACGAACCACGAAACCATCAATGTTAACTCTGACCGTAAATACAACATCCTTCTTCCCTTTAGGTAGGTCCACCAAGTTG